ATCCTTTCGCCTCAGCCTTCCAAGTAGCCGGAACTACAGGCCCGCGCTACCACGCCCGGCCAATTTCTCGATTTATCACAGAGATGAAGTCTCGCCAAGTTGCCCAGGTGGGTCTTGAACCCACGGGCTCAGGCAATTCACTCACCTCACCCTCCCAAAGCGCTGGGATTACACAGACTGAGCCACCAAGCCCGGCCAGAGGTCTTGCTCTTTTGACCAGGGTGGTTTGAACCCATGGGCTCAGGCAATCCTCTCACCTCCCAAAGTGCTGGGATTATAGGCATGAGCCACTGCACCTGGCCTGGGAGGTATATTTTAAACCACTTTAATTGGTATTACTATTCAGTATTATGATTCCATATTTGGAAAATAAACTCGTTTTTACAATACAAACCTCAGGAAGTCAAACTAAGTAAAATTTTGGTGGGGGTAGGGCTACACCAAAGAGTTTTTACAGCTAGGGGAATCCTCCTTTAGGTGTAGCAGAGGCACATGAGATCTCAGATTTTTCCAAGAGTGCTGGGGTTGACAAAGGTTGAGTAAAACACTGTAAATCTAGCAGAAGGAGTGAGGGATTTCCACTTACTGACAGCCTTGGCTGAGAACAACCCCGTAAGTAGCAGAAAGCAAATATGTCCCAAAGTCTGAGAGGAGAGGGCACTAAGACAGGGCTGGGCCCTCAGGATAGACTTTCAGTACTTGGCAGAGGTAGTTTGGGCTTGGCTGCACAAAGATACAGGTGGCAGAGTGGAGAGGGAAGAGCCATAAGGATGGCACAGGACTATGGTCCTGGTGTCATTACTGCCCGCTATTGCCGGGACACATGGCAGCCAGCCTAGAGCTCCCTCCCTCTGGCAGGCTGACATCCCACCCTCTTTGTGCCTACTTCTGAGTCTCCAAGTCTGCCCCTCTCCTAGGCCCTACCCAGTCTCCCTCATCCAGGAAGCCTTCAGACTTCATTGCTTATTTAAACCCAGCTTTACTTCCTACCTTGTACTAGGAGCTCCTCAAAACAAACTGACTTACGCATTTTCTGCACATCCTCCTCAGTGTCTATTCAGGACCAAGCATTTGCTGCACTAAATGGACTGCCCTATAAGGTTGGGCTGTGGATAGGTAAAGAGAGGAAACAAGGCTTGGTGGCTCAGCCTGTAATCCCAGCACTTTGGGAGGCCGAGGCTAGTGGGTTACATGAGCCTGTGGGTTCGAGACCCACCCAGGCAACTTGGCAAGACCTCATCTCTACAATACATCAAAAACTAGCTGGGTGTGGTAATGCGCGCCTGTAGTTATGGCTAGTTGGAAGGCTGAGGCGGAAGGATTGCTGGAGCCCAGCAGATCAAGGCTGCGGTGGCTGGGAGCGGCCACTGCACTCCGTTCTGGGCGACAGAGTGAGACTCCAACTCAAAAAAAAAAAAAATTAGCCAGGTGTGGTGACAGTTGCCTATAGTTCCAGCTACTTGGAAGGCTGAGGTGGAAGGATCGCCTGAGTCCAGACCAAGGCTGTGGTGACTGTGAGCGTGCCACTGCACTCCAGCCTGGGCAACAGTGAGGCTCCTCAGAAAAAAAAAAAATCCCAGATCTAGCTGGGCATTATGGCAGGCACCTGCAGTCCCAGCTGAAGGAGGCTGAAGCTGGAGTTTGCGTGAGCCCAGGGGTTTGAGGCTGCTGCTATGGTAGCACCTGTGAGTAGCCACTGTACTCCAGGATAGTGAAAGCCTGTCTCAATCTTTTTAAATACCAGGTTTGCAGTGTTTTAACTTTGTGATTTTATGACTTTGTGGTCATAGTTTTTGAGGATTAAATAAGAAATTTCAGCTCTATCCTGACCCCATAGTACACATCCAGTAAATGTTAACTATGTTGTTATCAGAGCACCTGGTAAAATTTATTATCCTTTTACTGGGCACCTATATTTGGGCCAGGAAGATTCCCAGGGACCTCACAAAATATCCTCCATGATCCCTGCAAAAAGTTCTGGTACCAAAGGGAAATATTAGGGCGTCTTCTAGAAGCCATTGTGGCTGACTGCTGACACTTAGAACAGGTTTTGCCAACAAACTGATGCTGCATTTATATCTATCCTACTCCAAGAAAGCAAAAACACCCTCTGCCCAGTGGCTCTAAAGGAATGGAGTGGGGGACTCATAGGACCCAGAAAGGACTCCCTGTCCTCACCCTCTTCAAGACCTATGAAGCGTGTCTGTGCCTCAGTCTCTCCCTCCAGCCAACGGGCACTTCACCAGCCCATCTGTTCCTGCTGCTCCCTGCAGGGCCTGTGCGGCATCCAACTTGGCCACAACTCCAGCTCAGGGTCCATCTGTTGGAGGGCACCAGTCCAGCTAGCTCTCTGTCCACTCCCAAGACGGAACCATACCTGGCACTGTGTTGTCGAGTATGAAAGCAAGGCACCCGCCCACAAACATCTCCGTCGTCAGCAGCACAGTCAGAATCTGATCCACTTCAGGAATGCCTGTGGAACAGACCAATGGCCAGTGGGCATCATGGTCCCACCTGGAGAGCCGAATTCAGGGACTCTACAGGCTGCAGCCTACTGATGTCCTTGTGCAGTCATGGCATGAGCTGGTACAAAGCCCTGACTTTCCTATCTATGGGTTCAAATACCAGTTCTGCCTGTTGCTAGCTGTTGACTTGGGACAAATCACTTAAGCTCTGTGAGTCTCTCCTCCTAATCTGTAAAATGGAGAAGATAAAAGTATGTTTCTTCTTTTTTTTTTTTTTTTTTGAGTTGGAGTCAGGTGATCCTTCTGCCTCAGCCTTCTAAATAGCTGGAACCATAGGCATATGTCACCATGCCTGGCTAATTTTTGATTTATTGTAAAGACGAGGTCTGGCCATGTTGTTCAGACTGGTTTCGAACCCCTGAGCTCAGGCAATCTTTTCACCCCCGCCTCCCAAAGTGCTGGGATTACAGACTTGAGCCACCATGAGCTCACTTCATTTGCAAAACAGCTCCGTGAAACAGATACTTTTGGCCGAGTGCAGTGGCTCAAGTCTATAATCCTAGCACTTTGGGAGGCAGAGGTGAGAGGATTGCCTGAGCCTATGGGTTCAAGAACAGCCTGGGCAACTTGGCGAGACCTCGTCTCTACAATAAATCAAAAAAT